AATTCCCCACCCTGAGTCCATAAAAACTCAATGTAGTGCAAAAGTTGTGTTACTGAGTGGCCGAAAGATGGAATCTCCTCTGGTTTATCACGTAATATTCCAGACACACTGACAAGTGCCTAAAAATAACCGGTACGCCCAACTTCGAGAATTCTGATCATTGCCATGTGCAAAGAACAAGCAACCAGCTAAACGTACGCCACTTTTGTCACTCGAAGGTGGGTCAAAATGAGGCTAAAGGGAGATGATAGCCTCGTGCCGCTTCAGACTCCACCTACAGCCGACTATGTGAACGGAACGTGCTGCACGACCAAGCACACGCATAACTGTAGGCAGACGCGCGACTTGTCTGCGCCCTCTCACGTTTGGTTGCTCCCTACCCTACCCGCTACAAGCACCTTGTTGTTCCTGTTTTGTCGCTGCGGGATCTCAGTATCGGCTCAAGTTTCGCATAGTGGCTGGAAGCCAAAAGTGTCCAGCTATTACAACCTTCTAACTCAATATCTGCACTTTTTCAAGAGACGAACGTCAAGGCTTTTGGTTTTGCGGACCTGTTGATCTACGTGACTAGTATAGGAATAAAACTGCACTTCCTCCAAAGATTACTCATAAAAACAGAATTCTTTGTGAGAAAAGATAGTTTGCGCCGCACAGGATCGTACACTCCTTATCCCTGAGCCAGAGTAGGCGTGGCATTTGAACATGGCACGGAACTGGTTACTCGTGGAATATTCCAGTCTGGGACAACTGTCATCTTGTTCTGTGTTGGACAGAGACACGACAACAATTGTGTCAAGATGAAAATATCTCACCAGAAGCATAGACACCTTCAGGTTAAGTTGAAGCATGCAGCCACGCCTACCCGATCTCAGGGATTTCGAGTATATCTGTTTCGCGTCATGAAAGATCGTACCCCTTTCATGTCAGAAAATTGTGAGGCAAGGCTCTTGACGGCAAGGTTGCACCACCAAAGCGCAAGTAACTCGTCCCTCAGTTGGTGTATGCCGTCTGGCTCGTTACTGCGCTCTCTCGTTGCTCTAGTGTAGCCTCTACCAAAGAATCCCGGCGAGTCTTGGAGTGTCGGTGAGAACTGACCGCATCCAGGGGCTTTATCTAGAGCATTTTCAAGTGTTCGTTTTGCCCATCCCTCCAGATGTAATAGAGTAGTATATTACGTTTGCTTTTCTTCATCGCTACCTGCGAAATATTATCGCGAAACGTGACTCTAAATTTAATCCTATTCTTGATAATTCATACTTACCTTGAATGAGTTCTCTTCGACTTTTTCGCTACTTCTGATGCATAGCTGATGTTACCATAAAAACAATGTCATTTTTGTAGGATACAGGTTCATAATGAATGGAATGAAAAGCAGGATCAATTCGGTAGCAGCGTTTAGGCGTGTACATCCGCCACCTTCAGCGGTCGTCGGACTCTGCTGGGCTCTTCTTCGCACCATCTTTCCACTCTCTCACTGTTCTTCTGCATCAGAATCGTTAACGAGTACAAGAGGATGGTATGGGAACTTTTGTAATATCGTCTGAGTTTTCGATATAATTAATTGAAGAGCTGACCCGTAGAAACATTCTTAGGCAACTAGTTAAGCCTACATAGTCAACTTGAGAAAGGAAATATCCACTAGCAGAGAAGGTAGTGGCAAGTGGCATTCCATGCCTCCTGATACCGCCCCGACTAATTGCGACGATATCAACTGTATCCCTGCCAGTGTCGGTTCGGTCGTGGTTTAGTAGATATTCGAAAAGCAATAGGATTCAAATGTGCATTCGATTGAGTTCAATGTTCTGTGTTATAATAGTATGCAAATCCAAACATGAAAATGCTCTCACATATACTACTGAATATCCTTTGTTATAGTTGATATCATCGTAATCAATCGGGGCATCGGCAAATCAATCAGGGCATCGGCAGGAGGGGCGGAGCGAGCCCGCCTCTGGATGACGTTCACTACCAATAGTGACCGGCTAGTCCATTACGAAAGAATTAATCAGAGATAGAACACCACGTACGGCCCATTCCATGCCTCATGAAACCAACTGTATGCGGTTGCAGGGCGCATCGTTATGCGGAGAAATCATCAACAGGGGGGGGTCGTATTTGGCCGCCAGGAGGGGGGGGGGTCGTATTTGGGCTGAGAAAAATTTATTTTGATAGTTGATTTTTCTCGCTTCATGGACGTTGTAAAAAAGGGGGGGGGTCGTATTTACTTTCTGGCCTCAGGAATGATGGCGACGTTTTCGTTATTTTCCCTAACTTCATGCGTGCGAACTATAAATATCCCCCCTCTAATCTCTCCTCCCTCCCCTCCCTCCCGCTCCTCGACAGCAGAATTTTTGGGAGAGGGTTATTCGGGATTGGTGGAAAGTGCCAGAAGTTGGGGAAAATCCAGAAAGAATACAACATTGTAGAAAGGTGGGGGGGGGGGGGAGTCGTATTTGTCCTCGCCGCTTTTGTAACGGTCCTCCCGATAAACCTTTATAATTTAATTGAGAACCACACCGCCCTCAAACCCTACCAGTCGAATCTTATGCTCGCAGGCGTAAACAAAAGAACTTAACTTTTATCTTCCGAACAAAATGCTTGAGCAGGTGATCCCTTTCCGCGATTCTCGGCGAAGTCTAGGCTCTCGTCCATCATAAACCAAAACTGGACCTGGAATATAGGTTGGTGTTCCCGTTCGTTGATGAACACGAAAAATAAATATAGACATATGAGTGAAAACAGGCAAAATCTATAAGATCCGATGCTTCGCTTAAAGATAGAGTCCATACTACGGCGCCACAAAAACCACACAAGAAATAATAATCAAAACATTCGCTCATGATGTATGAATATGGTTTTTTAAATATTAGGTTTGGACTAAAAGTAATGCCGCATAATATATACAATTGAAAAATTAAATATACCGAAGTGAGAAACGTTAAACAATATTAAATAACACAGCCAAGATTATGATATTCATACTGTTAGAAACATTCTCGTAGGTTAAATATATAGGGTAATTATGTTTATCTGTGAATTTTTTAGTCGTTGAAAGTTGGAAGTGAAGTCGGCGAAAATTAGCATCTTCGACAACTGCCTCTATTTACGTCTACTCGAAGTGCTAAAATCGCTTATACTCCATACATTCGGAAAAGGTAGAAGTCTCAGCAAGGGAAATCTCAATAGGACGCTTTGGAACTAATTTCAAGAATTTCGAAGTTGGCAACCTTCACCTTGCCAATATTGGGCAGGCTCACGTCTGTTCCACCTGAATATTTCATGGGCTAATGTGTGTATTAATTGAATTTGAATTTGATATTCAATACTCACGGAGAGTTTGCTATTTAAAGATATTAGCTCTGCTTGCAACATTTACTTTTGGAACAAATTTTTTCGATTGAAGAAACCGGCCATTACTTATTAGCCAGCCCACTGCTAGTGGGCTGGCTAATAACTGCTAGTGGGCTGGCTAACAAGTAATGGCCGTTTTTTTTCAATTGAAAAATTTGTTTCAAAAGTGAAAGTTTTGGCAAGCAAGCTTAACATCTATTAATAGCAAACTTTTCGTAGTATTTAAAAAGTTAAAAGTATTTAAAAACGGCCATTACTTGTTAGCAAGCCCACTAGCAGTGGGCTGGCTAATAACTGCTAGTGGCTGGTGCGCTAAACACAGTAAGGCCGTTTTTTTTTTCACTTGTACAGATTTATTCAGAGTGAAAAGTTTTGCAAGCAAGCTTAGCATCGTTTAATAGCAAACTTCAACTCGTAGTATTAGAATATCAAATTCAAATTCAATTAATTCAACTATTAGCATGAAATTTCTAAATAGAGGCAGTTGTCGAAGATGCTAATTTTCGCCGACTTCACTTCCAACTTCAACGACTAAAAAATTCACAAAAACTATATCCTCAACCAAAGCTTTTTGATATTCTTATACTACGAGAAGTTTCCTATCAGATGATATATAACTTTGCTTGCAAAACGTTTCACTTTTCGAACAAATTTTTCAATTGAAAAAAACGGCCATTACTTATTAGCCAACCTAATACATATATATCGGTGGCAGTCAGTCTGGGCGACGTCAGGAGGGGCGTAAAGAGCCAGTCTCCGTCTGCCTACCAATAGTAACTGTTTAGTGATCGATTAATGAAAAAATAACTAGTAGGGAACATGCCGCGGGGTAGGCAAACTCCATTCCTTTTGAAACCGCCCCGGGTTAGACCATATCAACTGTAGACATGCTTAGCTTCTACACAGACATTCTATGTACTTGCATACGACAAGCAGGCGATTGGAGATATGGGCGGAGACTTACAACTATCGCGTGTTCCCTTTTGTCAAGTGGTACGAGTGGCGTGATGGAGCTGCTGCACAGGTTGAGCTTTCTAGCATTGTGAAAAGGATGTGCGCGCCAATGAGAAGCACAAGAGTAGTGGGTCTCCGCCCATTTGTTTGTCAGTTAATGTGTCTTTAACCTAATGTGGCCCAGCCACAATAAACCTACAGTCCTCATCATTACGGACTGTCGGGGCGGCACAGCCGCGCTGCACTGTGACGCGACAGCGGCTGCGGCTCGGTGACGGTGAATCAGCTGATTTCCATGGAATTCCCACTTTTTCAGCTCTTCAAGCTTCTAAAGTGGAAGGTGAGTTATTCTGAACAATTTTGAATTGTACTGGCTCTGATTTCCTTTATTTTTATGTCGATTATATGCTCTTTTCCTTGTATTTTGCCTTATTTCAGGCATTTATTCAAATGGCTTGCATTCTTTCAGATTCATTCAGAGTCAGTACAATTTAAAATTGCTCAAAATAACTCACCTTCCACTTTCAAGCTTGAAGAGTTGAAAAAGTGGGAATTCGCAGCCGAATTCCATGGAAATCAGCTGATTCGCCGTCACCGAGCCGCAGCCGCTGTCGCGTCACATGCAGCGCGGCTGTGCCGCCCCGACAGTCCGTAATGATGAGGACTGTACTCAAACTGAAATGTTTTGAAGAACGATGGCCTATGATGTACCCACTCAAGAGTTCTTAACTCGGGACTGTGTCACGGTAGCTGTGGATGCAGTTGTATACTACAGAGCAAGGTAGAAATTCACTTTGAAGTAATCTAAATTCATTCAAAGTAATGTGAATTTCTTAAGGGATCCGATCGCTTGTCTCTCGGAGGTGTGCGACGCTCATTATTCAACTAGACAATTAGCACAAGCAACTCTGCGGAACACTATTGGAACCCGGACTCTGGTTCAAATAATGGGCGATCGAGATGGAATTGCTACACAGGTTGAGCGCATTCTCGATAGAGGTGAAGTTTTCGAGATTGAGATTGCGATCCAAAACTTCACTCTACGTCTTCATGCTCCCTAAAGGTTTGCACTAGGCTTCAAATTGGGAAAACGGACTAACTAACATATTAGACGATATTTTTGAACAACCATCATTTGCTCATATTGTCATGTAAAGGCAAACTGTACACCCACCTCTGTTGATAGTGGTTCTTGCGGTGTGTGGGGAAAATGGGTTCGTAGCTGCAGTTGCATACAACTTTCTCTGGTCACAAGTGCACGGGAATGGTTCTCGGATGGCTTTCTTACTCCAGTGGGCCAGGCGCTTAGCCACAGCTAAACACGCTACTTGTCTGCGCCTTCTCACCTCTGATTGTTCTCTACAGCTGAATGCGTGTTTCATTGCGGGACCTTGGAAACCGACGCAAGCGCTGCACGTAGAGGGAGGGCATCGCGGGCGGAGTATGGAGGCGCACGGTTACAGCTGCATTATGGCCTCGCTCTCATATAGTTTTGAGCGAAGAAAGTGGTACGCAGCAGCTGTGGACTCATTCTCCCCGAACTCAGCAAAGACCAGGATCCAGAGAGGTGTGTGCCAAGTCTGTCTTCGAAGGCATAAAGAACGATAATGTGGTAGTGGGTCTAAAACGATTGCAGGGTTAGCCTTTATTCGACACGGCACAGCATGGCAATTTCTAAGGAGTTTCATCAGAAAAATGGCATCGTGCCAATAACCGCTACTGTAGGTACGGCTGCATATACAGGGGGAGGCACTTTTCTCCCTTGACTTTCGAGGCGCTATAAGTTACACTTTATTAAATTCTGATCGGACATTTCTACCACCATATTAAAGAGCATATTAAATACTATCATGATACTCCGCCACAGCCTTCTGGAGGAGCGCCATCGAGAGATTCTGCCACGCGACCGTCAGTGGGTGCGTGAGTTCAGCGAGATCGTTGATTTCTCCGCCACTGTAGACCACCCTGTTGAGCTCCGCCCGAACCGGGTAATTGAGGGGGTTTAGGTCAGGTGACACACTTAGATATTCCATCTTCTTCAGGTACTCAACGCCCTTCCATTCCAAGTAGGCGAGAGTTTTTCCAACGCCCTTCGATTCCATGTGGTGGCACCCAACCTGTAGCAGTACAAAGTTTCCAAGAAGGTACGGGCGACGACATGTAGGGAGGATATTCTTCTCGAGTTGCTTGATGTAACCGCCAGCGCTCACCTTCAGTCCGGGGTCCACGAAGAAAATATCGGTCTTTCCATTCCAGGTACGTCCGGTCCATACCATCAACCCGCGCCTTGGCGACTGCGTGAAGATGATGTCCTAGACCGTAGCGACGTTGTCGGAGCTGCTCGATGTTGGAGGTCTTCCAGATCAAGAGTACTGGTCTCCAGGTAGCTGTCCATGGGTGACTCCATACAAGAAGTTTCGCAGCTGTTTGGAGGTGACATGAATTCCAAAGGTCTTCTCCAGTCAGGCTGCGACTGGAGATGACTTCATATTTTGGTGTACATGAAGGTGATGGGCGAGAGCCAGCTCCTGCTTATCGAGGAACATCTTGGGTATCTTCCGCCCTGGTACTCGTATCCACGACCGCTGCCGCTTCATATTCCCTTCTTTTCATACTATACTCCGCAAGTGAGCGATACGAGCATCAGCGGTCGGACATTTGTGTGCGGTGGGCGTGATGGGCGTCCTGGTCGGTATGTTGCAGCTTGATAGGGCGGTATAAGGGTACCTTCTTGGAGGAGGCGCCACGCAGCGCCTACTCAGGGGCACCGTATTCGTCCTGTAGGCCTATCAATCCAGCACGTTTTGCAAATTTATTTTGCCGCTTGCCTTTGAGCTCCTTTATCGTGGAACGTTGAACGTCATGTGCATTTATTTCGATATACGTTTTCACAACCGCTTTCAATCTGAGCACTCGCTCTTGTGGCAATTGTTTCTATTGAAAATAAGTTGTACATTTTTGATGCTTGGAGTAAATTGATTTACTATCCCCGTATGCAACCCGCGTTAATTTCTAAAAAAGACGTGTTTTGGATGGTTATAATGTTGTAGCAGAAAGGTTCATGAAGGAAAAGCTTCCAGCAACGTCTACGTGGGGAATTCGCGTTGAAAGAGTTGTGATCAAAGATATACGTCTTCCAACAGAACTGTGTCGGGCTATGGCTGCCGAAGCTGAAGCAGGCAGAGCTGCGGAAGCTAAGCTGATTTTTGCCATCGGAGAATTGAATGTAAGTTTATACTTTGCCATTTGCCATACTTTGAAAGCGAAATCAGTCACGTCCACCTCACCAACAGCCAAATACAACCCTCCCCATTACGATTTCCACATCGGATGCGAAGTGGTCCCACTTCCCATATCGCCTGGCCCGTACAAAAATAAATAGGGCCAATCTCTGCAGCAAAATTCACTAAACCCAGGCCCGCTCTCTCATCGGCAGGGATTATGGCCGTGACTATGTCAACCTGAGGAACAAAGCAGAATTGTTCGACGAAATCGGTCTCATTATGAGCAGGGTGATGCCAGTAAAAAAAGAAACTATTGGGTGGTCCGGAAAGTCCTCCGTTTTGAGTGTTTCACTTTAAACGATCATAACTTTCTTAATACTCATCGGATATTAATCGAAATAAGCACCGTTCGAATCAGCACACTTTTGCCAATGTGACGCCAGCGATAAAAATCCATCACAAGAAAATCCGAGTGGTTCGAGAATCCACAAAAAAATTTTTGCCTGGTCCTGATTGAATGACAGTATTTTCGGCAAAAGCAAGAAAGTGCTGACAATGTTGAAAAAAAAGTGATAGTCCAGTTTGGTGAAAGGTCTGGTGAATATGGAGAGCGAGGTAGATCTTCAACCCCAAAATTCCCGTTCAGTTTGATGGCAGTGTTTGTTGTGCCTAAAACGTGTGTGGCGTGTCCATGCAAAAGAATAGGAAACCTAAAAATGACAAGTGCTGGCTGCAGCTGACACAATTTTCGGTACATTTCGTCGATTTCTTTACAGTAAGACTCTCCTGTGATGGTTTGGCCTGGTGACAAAAAGTTATAGTGGATCACACCAGCCGATGATCACCAAACTGTGACCATGATCTTTTTTGTGAAATGAGGGATTACAAGCTTTGGAAATTGCCTCGGTGGTTCGTCGGCATCCAACCACTGTCCGGAACGTCTCCTCTTATCATAAGTGATAAACTTTTCATCACAGGTGACAATTCGGTGGGCAAAAAAAACGGTCGTATTCTGTTGCGAAAAGCAGTGAAGAAAGAAACCTGAAGAACTGCAATTTCTGCTGGCACTGCAAAATTCTGGGCCCCATTGTCGAGTTTTTACACATCTCAGTGCGTTTTCTGACCATCCGCACAGTGCGAACTTGGCCAAAAGCCATATCTTTTGCTGCAATCTCTCAAATGTTTGGAGTCAAAACGGTGGTGTGACTCGAACCCAAGAAATAGCACACCAGCTATAGGTAAAACAAGCCAATGAGTGACGAGCGACGGATGGTGAGCAGCCTTCAAATCCTCGTCAGGTATTGCTTTAGGTCGACCGCTACGAGGTTCATCTTCAAGGCTGAAATCTCCAGAACGAAATTTGTCGAACCATTGTCGCACGGTGCTTTCTCCAACACTATTGGGCCCCCACACCTGGTTAATTTGTCGAGCTGTCTCGACTGCGGATTGACCCAATTTGTAGTTGAAGAAAAATATCGTCCGAAGTTGCTCTTTTGACATGCTTCAAAAAGTCTTGGGAAAAGGGGGTTTATCAAGCAATGGTGAAACGGCAATTATACCATCAGATAGCGCAAAAAATGAGTTTTAATCGGCAATGAATGTACAAAATAGTAACACAAAACGTTGAGAACTTTCCGGAACCTAATACATGTTCCCACCACTTGTCCTCTTCTTTGAATGACTTTAATTTCATTCTCTTATGTTTTATCATCTTTCAGGCTTCCAGTGCACTGCGGCAAGCAGCAGATGAGCTCACTTCATGTCCTTTAGCCGTACAATTGAGGTACGCTTTTTCTTGAGACTTTTCCCGAACTTTCTGAATTCTATGCTTGCTCTTCGAGGCAATGCTGCCTTGGAAAACCCAATCATTCGGGCTATGGATCCTACTGCTAATTACTTCCAGGTACATTCATTCGCTCATCAAAATATCAGCCCATGACAATCACACGATTGTGTTGCCGTTGCCAATGGAACTTGTTCAAGGCCTTTCAGAATCACTCATTCAACAAAATCATGATTCATGTGACGGGACTCTACAAGACTAATATATTTTCGGATAAAGTACTGCCTAATCGTCGACAAACTTGATATAAATTTTACTATTGACTCTTGTGTTTTTGACAACTTCAATATTCCTTCCCAGAAACTTGAAGTATTAATTATTATGCGTTCATACTTTGCGGCAGGAACCAAGGAAGGTTACGGGTATGTTCGGTACCGGCTGCTAGCCACTCGACGACAATGCACATTCTTCCAAACATCGATTGAACGATCCTTCCATTCTTTCAAGAATGCAGCGACCTGGGCTAGGCCGCACATTTCCGAGTCACGAAAAGGGCGCCGTTTGCCTCGTAGCGACCCCCCCCCCTATCCTATATGACCGCTTTGAAGAAATTATCGTAAAGTTCATTATGTAGACTAGGCGGCTCGAAGGTAGTCCTAGAAATGAGCGCGTCGGTAACCCTCCCCCCTCCCCCATCCCTCTTCTTTCCCACGGTTTATTGTGCAAACCCGTGCCCCGCAAGAATGGATCACTTAGGTGGAAGTCGCACTGAGTGCGCAAAGGGAGCCATCTCACAGTGAACAGAACGTCTGGCCAGATTTCAGGAAACTACTCATGACTCATGCTTTCACTCCAGCTTTGTTTTTTCCCTTCCGAGCACGTGATAATATATCAGTACGCGCGTAGGCAAAAACTTCCTGATCAGAAGGGTCCTTCACCCTGCTCCATGGTCAAATGGCCTAAGCCTGTCAAAAGGAAGAAAAGGGGTGGGGTAGATACCGGCAGCTCGTTTAGGCCACAAATCTCATCCGCACACTTCTCGCCTTCCTCAATAGAACCATCGTTTAGAAGAAATAACTACCGTTTAGGTATTTGGATGCGTCGGCGAACAACGTATTGGAGCGTATTTTATTCACAGTACAGCCCATCGATGGGGCGCATGTGCGCTTGGGGGAGGGGGTCTATGGAGGCTGCTATCCTTTCCGATGGGGGTAGTATCCGGCTCTGAGAGGAACTTTTGAGACGGTGTTTTGATTGGATGTGGTGTGTGAAATGGTGGCGCCTGTACGACCCCCTCCCCTCTCTCGAGGGAGGGTCTCGGTACGAACCCCCCCCCCTCCCTTCCCAAACACTCACCTACCAATTTTCCTGTTTTTACTTAGAGATTTCCGTCGGGCGTCGTCTTCCCAACTTCCTACCACTTTTTCCGGAGTTTTCCGAGAATTTGAAGGGTTCTCCTACTTTTACCCAAAAACTTTGCCGTCGAGCGCGGGGGTATATAATAATAATAATAATAATATGAAACAGGAAAACCACGCGAAAACTCAATGATCGGGAAAATTTTTTCCGAACGCGGCGAATTCCTCTCAAAGCCACGTGCGCCCCCCCCCCCCCCGGGAGACGGTAAAGAGGATCGTAATTCGCCGCACCGCCACGCGCGGCGATGGGCGCGGCGTTTTCATAACTCGTTTTAACCTGTCGAATGAAGCACCGGACTTCATGTAGACCCCGTCATCGTAGACACTCATTACTGTTTTCGGTCCTTAATTGCATGTTGTCGCCATCTACTGCCTGAAACCATCGTCCTTTGCGGGCGGGACGTCGCACGCGACGCCCAGCAGCGCGGCAAATTACGATCCTCTTGTCACATACCCCACCCCCCCCTCCCAACAACCGAATACGACCCCCACCCCACCGCTCCGCAGCCGAAAAGTACGACCGCCGCTCTTTCTGTTTCACAGATAGATGCTGTACCCTGTGTGAACTGCCGTCTGGCCCGCCACTTTGGGTGTGATACAGGGTTTTATTTGTGTGCATCATCAATGTGTTAGTTACAGCAAGTACAGTAGTTTCTACGATAAGATCTGCTCGTCTGCACTCTCCCAAGGACAAATCGAAGGAGGGAAGGATCACTATCTTGGTGGGACGAGGCAGACGAGAGGTTCGATCAATTTGTCAGCACCGCTAACACTGAATCGGAAACATTTTATTAAATAATAAATTTATCCATGGTGAATAGAGAACTATCGGTTCTATACAAAATAATGAAAAATAATTCTAATATTGAAATTGAGAATGTAGAAATGTGAGCAAAAATACAAGTATTCAGCCAGTCATTGAACTGAAACTTCATAACGAACGAATATCGATCGAGGTGGATAAATTCGTACCGGCTCGTGTATCGGTCGATACACACGATCATGATGAATTTTCAACAAAACGTCTTCGGTATGAACAATTGTTAGCAAAATATATAAACACAACAAATATTACTGAATCCTATAGTGTTCTACTATATCGCAAATAAATAATGCAAAAGTACAAATATGAAAGTACGCTAGAGACCCTACAGTAAGCAATGACAAACGTTATTTCAACTCTACAAATTATACCGTATGTAAGATAGCCGTAACAGGTTATGTCTCTTGGCGAATAACAAGCACCAAAACAGTCGACGGAAGCGCTGACAGATCGAGTTGTCATTTTTTAGATACATATTGATCGATGCAATTTGGAGAACGAAATTCGCGGTACTATTTGAAGCCTTCTTCATCAGCTACTGATTGTGAGCAACGAAAAAAATAGGTAATGAAGATGATATGACTAGGTTTAGGCTCAAAATTGAGTCGAGAAGTGTTTCTAAGGAAACCGAGCATGTACATGTCGGAAATCGGAACTGCCCAGGAATGACCTACAGAATTCAGAATTCAAGCAATCTGATTTGACTTTACAATATCTGCCCCATTCACTATTTGGCTATGGAATCTTTTCAGTCACTTTGTGAATAATGTACTCTAAAAAAGCTGCTCTGTATAGAAAATAAAAAACCACATTTCTTGGGAAGTGTTTGACCTTTGTGCTGAGCTTGGAATTGGTCTCTGGTTCGCCTCGAAGCCAGTGGGCACGTTTGCTGGAGGCGGGCAGTTGCTGCCACCGTCATTGGTGAAAGAGCTGTGAGAGGGCGCTTGGCCACACCCACTTAGCCCTTCCACCAATACGTTGGTAACGACCGCCCGCCCCAGCACTCGTGTCCACTGCCTTTAAGGCAGTTATGGACAGGGATCACCCTGCCTCAAGCTGCGTCTACCCCATGTTAGTCCACAAATATAATCAAAATGAGGGCGTTTGACGGAAGAAATGGAATATGCACAGAAAAAATAACACTTGTACACTACGGTCATGAGAATTGCCTGAGAGAAATTTAATAGTGAATAAGGAAGAAAACCGAGATGCTTTATAATGACGTAACTTGCTCCTCGCGATCTTCGTAGTCTTCTTCAAGCATTACTAGTTCACCATCAGAATAATAGGATTCTTCTGAAAGCCCACGAAGAAGCTTGTCTTCATGGTATCCTGGAAAGAGTTTGTTGCGTCACAACACTGACAGAAAACGTGCGTGAATAGCCATTGAAGGAACGAGCGGTTGCGGTGCGTGCAACTAATTGGCCCGCTAAGAATAAAACCAACCGCTTTCATCAGAGATGCTGTCGAACTCAAACGAATTCAGGCGTTTCTGACATTGTACTTCTTCCAAGAACCCACAACATGAGTCAGCATGATTTGTGGACGCGTCTGAAAATAGGAGTTATTTCTTAACAACTCTGTTTGTTAGAAAAAGAAAATGCACGATTTACGATATTTGGAGCACTTCAAAGAGAATTCTGCGATTAAAAAGTTTTGTTTGCTGCGGAGCCTGGGCATTTAAGAGGGTGGGGACTGGGTTTGGCGAAGCGCCACTCTCTTCTTCGCCAATTGTGATCGCCTACCAGCTTCCATAGCTGGTAAGGAACGTTGGCGCCGCGCCAATCCCAGTCTATGTGGAACGCTCCAGCGTTCGCAGCGAACAAGGCTGTCCAAGGGCAGGTCCGCAGCCGCACACGGGACACCACTTCGCCACTCGAAAAAGCGGAATTAAAACCCAAAGGGCTTCTGCCTCTAATCTGGATGCACCTCTTTAGCTACAACATCGGTGTGGGTGAAATGGCGGTGTCAGTAGGAGCTCCGCCCCCTCCGAATTTCCTCTTTCACTGAGCGGGCGCTGCCAATCACCCACCAAAATCAACTGTCAGTGATACTGGTTGTGGAGTACGTAAGCAGGGCCGGCATCTACGAGCGAGGGGAGGGGAGAAAAAATAAAACTGGTAGAAACCTTCTTACGGCTCGAAAACATTCACAGATGCGATATGAGACAAACCCCACCGGCGAATATGACCCCTCTCCCTAGCAACCAGATACAAACCCTCCCTCTCTCCCCCCAAAAGACTCTTCCGGCGATTTGCTAATAAACAGGGTCTCATCTGGAAGCTTTCGACAAGTTTTCCTGCTCTCTTCTTCTCAGGATATTCAACTAGCACCTACAAACTTATCTGGCTAAGCCGACTGTACGCAGCTTGCAATCGCGGAATGTGTCTTTAATCCTGTTCTTCCTAGCAGTGCCGTGTAGAAAGAGTGATGCTCGGAGTTTCCCGCTACACGCAAGTGAGAGAGGGAATCCGGAGCTCCGCACTCCGCCGACGATCGAAGATCAGAGACGCCGCATTTGCCAAGGTTTCGAAGATCAGGTGGGCCGGACACGTCATGCGTTTCGAAGATGACGACAGGAGCGATTACCGACTGAACTCCACAGGATGCAAACGAACACCTGGACGACCGCCTATGCGAGGTCAGACTTCTTCGTGAAAGCTCTGAACGCAATGGTATGAAGTGTTCATCGTATCCCTTGAACACCATTGGGCAACTTTAGCGCGTTGCAGGGACGAATGGAGACGTTGATGGCACCTGCTCGAGCAAATCGATTACCAATTGGAGCGTAGGTGATACAGGTGATATTGCGGTGTCGAAAGACTGACGTGTAATCCCGACCTGTCAACTGACGCTTTCGTGTTCAGTTTACTGTGGATAAGATTCTACACTTGCTCTTTCTTCGATGAGGAAAAAGAGAAAAACTTAATAAGAACCTTCAGCATTTTCCGAGTCAGCTGACTGATCATTTGTGGAACCTTCCGATACACTTGGTGTCATTTCCGGTTCTGCTCGATAACAAATGGAATCACTATCGCTCTCATCCTCCTAAAAATCCTTCTACAATAAAAGGCAACACTATTAATACAAAGTCATGACATACCTCCTGTTCCTCGTCAATACTTCCTAAACGGGGAGCCGATTTAGATCGACATACAGGTGGGCGGAAATTCAGACTACCCGAATGGAGCATCATTTTCCGCCGCGGACAACCGGTCATTCCAGTGAGACGAGCATTTTGTACAGAAAGTTTCTCGCGTTTATACTCCTGTAAGCTTTCGTGTTCAGTTTACTGTGGATAAGATGAAATCAATACTTCAAGAAAGGTTACAACAGGTTTACGACTGCTAAGTTTTGATCAGGGTTACTACCATTTTGCTCAGCTTACCTGCCAACGACTGGTTTTACCCTATCCCCAGCCCTATATCTGTGCAACAAATCCGCTCCTTGCACTTATTGAGTCTTTTGATCTTCGTTACATGAGCGATATATGGCCCAATACCATCGCTGGATCACTTTCACTATAAAGTCTCGTTCGCTGCGGACGTTCCCTTTCAGACGGCTGAGCTTTGCACGGTGCCAGCCTGTTCTCAAGCAACTGTGAGAGCTAGACGACCACAGTTAACGGAACAATGGCTGGCGCCGCGCCCAAGCCTATATTGCACCCTCCCCCCTTCCCTGCAACGCCTTATCGTCAGCCGCGAACAAATGTACTGTACATCGGGAAGTATATAAACACGAGCCGGAACGAGGAACTGACAACTCTGTTTTCAGCAGTACAAATGCTTCAGTACTACCTAGGCACTTTTAAATACCGATTTAGACCACTTTAAAATTGCCTCTTGACAACCAGACGATCTGAGAGCACTTTGAAAATCGTAATTGTTCCATAAACAAAAATTGCAAATCACCTGAAGTGCGGCATGCAGATAATCCTGTAGTTTTGTGTGCATGATCTGTGGATCTGATAAGCGTTTACATAACACGGCGTGACATCTCAGTTCAGGTTTGAGCCTAAAAAAAACAGGTCATTTCACAAGGAGGTCACCTGTGTCATAAATTATCCTGGAGCGAGAGAAATTATACGGACAATTACGGAGCGTAGATCACAAGCAGGTATAGTCATTTTCGCTGCACACGTTGAGGCGTTCCAGAGGGGGGGATTGGTTTGACGTGGTGCCAGCCGGTTTTCCCCTTCTCGCTTGCCTCCTTCAACAACCGGTGAAGAACGGGCTGGTACTACAACAACCGGTGAAGAACGGGCTGGTACTACACCAAACCGAGCTCCCATGACACGCCCCAGAGCCTGCAGCGAGAACTACTAAAGTAATTCCTAGCTGCTACAGCTGAAGTGACATGTTGCAACACGTCCACATGCGATCAGTTGGACCATGGTGCGAATGCCGCGCACGTAACGCCGCTTGCTTCGCCGCGTCGCCGCAACGTGGGTGTTATGTCCCACCCCATCACAGTGCAGCTTCTCTAACAGAGTTGTATAAAAGCCATTTGTCTCATTTCAAGCGGAGCCTTGGAGTTTTGAAGCAGGAAACTTCATAGTACCAGAAGAAACCGTACCGTTTACCGTCATGCTTGTAGATCCAACAGAAAAACTTTGGGATAGTGTGGAAGAGCAGCGGAAGATGTGATACGATGAGCCCAGTATTCCGTCAGGCCCTGCTCCTTCGTTTCGGCCTTCAGTCCAGATCTTGTAATCTGAAATTGCTTCTTTTTATTTCTCTCATTACTTTCTGCACTCAGTCACTTCTAGTGAATGAGGAAGAACACTGAAGGCTTGAAGTCCAGCAAACTGAGAGGTGTACGTCATTTCTGCTTGCCTGCACCCACTCACCTAGACGCTATGTGCCTTGAGGGGCACCGGTCTGCAATTCTACGTGCGCATAGCGGCCCGTATAGAAACCTGCGACGTTGCGGGGGGAGTCATGTAACAGCATCGAGATGGGAGGACTGGCGCAGTTAGTCGACAACTCCCCTTCCCCCCCGAATTTCCTGTTGCAGTCAAAAAAGAATTTTCTACCAGTTAGTTGATGCGCGAATAATGTCAAATGGATGCACAGAACACTGTCATGAGTGCTAGAAAGATCAATTACTCCCACTGCCAAACAAGCGACAAGTAGATGACACAGACAGCCCGAACTTCGTCTTTCTACCAAATTGAACGATATTCCGGCTGGAAAGTTGGGAAAACCGGTCAAAAAAACCGAGAGAACTGATTTTTTGGATATGCAGAAATCGATGTTTTACCAATATGGGTCCCCTTGAATATTACTAGCAGAGAAACTGATGAATTGGGTGGAATTTCTGAAGCTAAACAAACCTCTAAGCCCATGCTGAGATCGGCACCAGTTCGACTACAGTATGCTTTCCAAATGAGTGATAATGGCTTCTCGTAGCAATTTTCACCGGCAGCGAGTACGGTAAGAACATTTCCAAGATAGACTACGTTATACGAGATATCGGGTGGATTGATGGTGTACCTGAATTACTCCACAATTTATAGACTGCCAAGCAAATATTTATGAGCTATATTAAAGAAACAGCAGAATTGGCAGATCGGCAGACTAACCAAAAAAGAACAACAATTCGGGAACATGTCAAGGGTTTGACAAGAGATGATATGGAGTACTAACAGATTAACTCATTTGATTTGTTCACAAGTGCTGCAAAGCTGTGCAAACTACCAAAATGCTGAGATACTAAGGCTCAGCCCTGATTATTTGAAGACAAGCTGCACACTCAACTCCGAGGACGGTCCTTTGCAAGGTGAACGGGTCCGCGGCTGCATTATCAAGAGACCTGCTCACAAGGGAGTCTAGGGGAACTGGGTGGAGGGTAATGGCACAGAAGGCCTTTCCGATTATACCCGCGCTGTACTCAATGTGCAGCAGCTGGGTTGATTTGAAAATCTCACTGCAAAACACGTACTCAGCGGTAGAGTACAACAAGAAGTGAGAGGGCGCAGACAAGAAGCGCACTTAGTTGTGGTCAGGCGAGTGGCTGGCCGTGAACCGGATATCACTACCTTCCAGTCCCGTTCGCATGCACTTTTGAGCTACAACTGCTGCAGGCTGCAAAGCCCAAGACCCGAATGCAGCCGCAGACTTAATCGCTTGGCGCTGGGCTGCAAAAGCCCGACGAGCGCCAAACGCAGGCCGCAGAGCTAATCGCTTGGGCCGCTGGTTTCTACGACTGGTTGCTCTATCAGCTAGCTTGCTAAAGTTCCAGCGCGTCGGACGCGCGTTAACAATGCTTTTCTTATCAGGGCGCGTCGACGGGCGTTATCGCGAATTCCGAAGTGCCGTATAATATCTACGGGACGTAGGGTATGTGTTTCGGCCCGACGGATTTTGCGGGCTTCTTCGGCGTGTCATTTTCTGGCTTGCCGATGATTTGTCGGTTAGAGCGTAGCCCGTGGCTTCATGCGGGGGGTGGAAGCAAGAGGGGAACAAAAGTTTTTGCCAGTCCACTTCTCTCACATGCCCAAATACGACTCCGATAGGGATTATCGGACCGGGTCCGTGGTATCTTCACCTTGTAGTGAATGCGACAACTGGGAATTGAGGGAGGACAAGAGAACTAATGAAGCTATTAGTAACTGAATGAGTTAGTGTAAACCTTCTCACATTGTAGTCGCAGTTGGAGAAAAGCTCACCGTTGTTTCTTCCGCCGGAACGGTAGGGTGAAGAACTGAGACGCCGAGGTGTTTATCACAGGCATCTGAAAAAAAAAACGTTGCAAATACAGATCAACCGCTCATAAAGTGGCCAAATGAAGAAATACCAATCAATCAACTATTCGCTGCACATTCGCGAAGAAACCCAGCAAAAAAGGGGAAAAACTGAAGAGAAGATAGAAAGTCCGATCGGAAACAGGAAAAAGGTGGAAGCGTCTCGAAGTCAAATGTACAAAGTGGCGAGTTTACGCAAACAAAAAAAAAGATCACACCGTTAACCTTTTGAGGCACTAAGATGCGGCATGAGTGAGAGTAGGAGAAGCATGGGGTGTGGACGCAATGGGTAGCGGGAGGCGGCATTTCCGATGACTAGGCTGCGGTTATATGTGGGAGAGATTTCGCACTCAGGTAACCGCTACTCGTAAAACAGTCCGTTGCGAACTTCTCCTCTCAAGATACTAGCAGCTGTGTGTGAAACGATCCCTGCAAACGATAAGGTGTGTGACGAGCGTATCCGAGGTAGATTTCCCATCAGTTTGTAGGCTGAACTCAGCAGTATGATTGTTGAAGCAAGGCCTTACCGGCCCTTGGGCGCGCTCAATTCAGACCGCAGCCGTCACATCGCCGTAATGCGTTGCAGGCGATCATGACGCTAGCATCATGTGCGCAGTGGCCGCGACAGGCAGGCCATAATCTGATATTGAAATGCGTACCTTCCAACTTTGAAAATGATCCAAGCCACGGAATACGTAGCCGGATTTCTGGAGACTGCAAAGTTTTTCTTGTCGGTCATAACGCATCCACCAAAAGAAAAATTCTTGACTGGTGACCGAAGGGAAAAAAAGGAAGAATGTGGAAGGAAGTAAGAAAAGGAGGACGAAGAAAAGTTGAAGAAAGAAAAGGAACCTTGCTCGGCTTACAGATATCTTGAAACCCCGAACCAGACTGGGAGTTCCCTCTCACCTATAGTGAGCCTTACCGTCCCAGGGCCAGCCTAAATGACAGCGCCTAGCTCACAGTGCGGACGTCGACCTAGCCTTGCGTCTGAAGGGGGATTAGCAGAGCGGAAACGGGATATAAGGTACAATAAATTTGTTGTTTCCGAGAATAAGTGCATCTCGATAAGGACGACCATTACCAGACGAAATCATAAAAAAACAAAATGACGTAACTGAATGATCAAAGAACTGAGACGAGAGCATTAAAAAAATTATCATAATAGAAGCGGCAAACCGAGTAAAAAGGTTCGTTATTGAGGTGGAAGTTCCATTCAAAGGGTGTTTATGGGTGGAAGTTCATTCAAGGTTGTTGTTAAAAAAGAGTCAATAAAAGAAGAAGATGTAACCAAAACGCAACAGAGGACCTTAATGTTAGGTTGAGAACTTCTATCCTCCTTTACCCCGACCCTTCTTTTCTGCTAGGTCCCAAAAGAACTGGCTTGGTTTTATTTCATTGTTTTTTTCTTTTCCTCATTTCAACATTCCCTTATGATGTCCAACTGATCCCCTACAGAATCATTCATTTTGATGATAGCAACCACATTCAGCTTATAACGTCCGGTATGGTGTTCGCACGTGCGGCGGTCGCGACGCCGCGCGGGCTTCTCCTTTGCATCCTGAGTTGGGAGGGGCGTGGCTGAGTACTTTATCTGATTAGTGGTGGCCACTGCGCTTTTGGTGAGATATCCCATTCTTGAACAAGTGTAACTACATCTGTGTCCAGGGCAAGGAAAAAGAGAAGTTCACGCAAACGGAGATCTCCCATGAAAAACGCAAGCTGCGGCATGTCCAAATGAAGCACGAGCCACGCCCAATCTCACTTCGTGATATGGAGTGTATTTCACGGCGGGTTTAACCACGGTCTTTAGTGCAGCTAAATAACTATGGTAATCGTTATGCAATGGCATAGATCTTACCCTATAAAAGCAAGCGTAAATCAGCTCTACAACATTGCTAGCGCTATTCCAGCCATTTTGTCCATGTTTGCGCTATACATGACCTGCACAGCATTAACAAAGGAAATAAATGACGTATGCCCGTGAAATCACACATCAGTCACGCAAGATAAGAACAATAGAGCCACGTTTGGCTAGACTGAGTTCCAGGAGAACATGTTCCTTAAAGTCGTGGCACTTATATGTTTGAATGAGGCGGAGGTGGTGTAGTGAAAAGTGGCGTGTTTATCACTGCACGGCTCTGGGTTCGAATCGAGGGTCGATCCCGCCCGGGCCAAACAAGCCTTCTACCCTATGCGCATGGTAAACTGGTACCAGACTGTCTGGGTGTATGAGAAAACTGACTTGACATCGGCTGGCAATTCACTGCATGGGCCACATCGCATTCAATAAGCCACTAGATTTTGGATGGGAGTGCAATGCGTGTCGCATCCCAAAAAAGGACCGATCAGCGGAGAAGACTAGACTTCGGATGTTTATGCAAGGCAACTGCGCAGCGAAAAGATGTGAAATGATCGGCGTCGTTTGAAGAGCGCCAAATATTGGACTTCCATTCAGGAACATATG